GGTGATTGGGTGCTTAGGAAATCTTTTGGCAACGAGGCAAGCGGAAAGTTTAGTCCTAATTGGGAAGGCCCTTACCAGATCACCGAAGTCGTCGGGCAGGGGGCATACCGGTTAGCATCCATGGACGGTAAACAAGTACCAAGAAGCTGGAATGCGGTACACTTAAAACCTTTTCACTTTTAGTTTGATCGTTCTCATAAATGTATACAACATATATTTCATTTATTTCCATTACTAACTTGATCGTCGGAGGGCCGTTGGCCTCAAACCAACGGCCAAGTGAATCTTTAGATCAGATATGGTCTGACGACATCAAGCTGGTCGAACCTGACAGATTGACACAGGTAATCATCAAACACGGAATGGGTAAGTCTTTCTCAAGTTCTACAAACCATGATCATCTCAACAGTACGTCACTCATCTTGAAACAAATTAATGAGCTACATCTTATATCAATAGAAACAACAACTTCCGAACACAGGTAGCCTTTTTCATGTTACTAAGCATTTTCGTCAAATTAAAGCTTTTTATAATAAAGATGAATAACCAAACTTTAAACACTCAGTTGATATTCTAGCAAAAATAATTGAGTTGGAAAACTATTTTCTTTAAGCAAAACTTTGTTTTGTCATTATGTATCATAATCTCAGTTACTAACTTTATCATCGGAGGGTCGTTGGCTCCAAGCCGACGGCCAGACTCTGACGACATGTTAAAATGCAGAGCACTAACGAGTAAGCCAAGCACCAGTTGCCGATGTAGACGACAAACAAACATCCTAAAGATACTGACACATCTCCCAGAACACATCATTAAGGGAGAGCGAGGATGACATGGGCCCTTCGTATGCAATTAAAACATATGAACAACAAACCCATGCACCTTGCATGTTTTGGCCAAAACAACAGAATTACACAACAGAAGCATGTGCTTCATAAGCATGACAACACAAACTCCAAAACATAAGGAGACAACATGAGCGACATTGACATAAAACATAATTATTCATGTCGACTACATTAACAAAATCGTAAATGAAACAATACTCAAAGTTTTTGCAGGATTTTCGCAGCAACGGACGAAGTTCCCTTTGCCAACCGAAGTGTCAACATCTACCTAGATGAAGTTCCAAGTCGTCAGCATTGCCTAGATGTGATCGTTAGCACAACTCTAGAAGAAGAAGGAACAATCAAGTAGATCGAAGTGGGATATCAACCAAGAGTTCAAATTCATAATGACGACATCCATCTAGCGTGTCCGCCATCATCATGAATTGAGGGCAATTGTTAGGCTCATAATTTAATAGGCCGGAGCACCGCCGAACTACCCGGATTAGCCCAGCAACGGTTAGGAAAGTTCTAGCAATCCAACCTAGCAAAGACCAACTCTACATGGAAAGGGATCAAGCAAGGAAAGAAATAAAGAAGGCTCTTACTCCCCTTAGTTAATTTAAACATCCAAGGAAAGAAAATCATGTATTAATTAATATACTATGTATGGACCAAGGAGGAGGGCATAAATACACGATCAACTATGATCAAAAGCCACTTTGGATTCTAGCAAACCATTACGATTAAGCAAGAAGCCTTTGTTCGAATATTAATCTATTCTTATTGCTATTTCTTTTGTTCTTAATCTCCTTAGTGTTGATTCTTAGTTGTTCGATTCCCTCACAATCATTATTCATAGTTTAGCTTAATTTGGCTAAAACAAGAAAGTTTAATGCTTATTAAAGGAAAGAGCATGACTATGAATACTTTTAAAAGTATTAAAGTATTCTGTGATTGCCATCAGTCAATAAACTTGAGATACATGAAAGCCACTCCGTTTGGGTTCAAGTTCATCAAAAGTAACTATAATGATCCCAATTTTAAAGTTATTTACTAAGAGCTATATTTGAGCGTTGCATCCCCATCCCGTGCTATATACAGTTTTTTGGAGTAAAAATGGAACTCAAGGGAAAGAGCTTGATTATCAATACTTTTAAAAGTATCCAAGTATTCTGATATGATCTGACTAATACTTTAATTTGAACTCTATTTATAAGTAAAGTCGTGGACTAAAAGTTTCAATATACTCAAATTATATTGAACATCTAGGTTTAATATAACAATTGACAACTTTAGGTCTAATTATACTTTTAGTCCACAGTTCCAATTGCAAGAAACAATAAATATTTATTGTTTCAACCGCACGATTCACTAATCAAGATCTAAGGGTCATGTTTTCTCTCCGGTTCCACCCTCACCGCCTCACTGCATTTTTCATTTCTACTCAGATCTTGATTTTTTATCGCTCGATCAGATAACTAAATTTACTAATCCCGTCGCCTCCTTCGTTCGGATTTCTTTTAATCAATTTCTCACCCCCTCCCCTTCATTAGAAATCATCATAGTTCAGACTTCAGAAGCTTTTATCGAAATTAGACTGAAGTTCGGGAATCTCAATTATGATGATGTTTTTCCTCCCTGAACTTGATGAATGAAGACATTAAAAGTTTTGTTTTTCATGAAATCATATGTACACATATACTTTCTATTATTTTAGTTATTTTATTATGTACTCTGAAGTTTTATGAATAGCTCATGGTTTAATATGATTATAAGGATTTCAGGTCTAATATTATTAGCATATCATATTTGAGATTTCATGACAAGACACCAAACTACACTAAAAATAGTTATTAAAGTATTCTGTTATGTTATCACTAATACTTGAAGTCTATTTATAAGTGGAGCTGTGAACTAAAAGTATCAATATACTCTAATTATATTGAACATGTAGGTTTAATATAACAATACATAATTTTAGGTCTAATTATACTTTTAGTCCCCAGTTCCAGGCATAGGATTAAGTAGTGAAAATTGCACTTTTCACTACATAGTCTATGTGTTTCCGAATCATAGCCCAAAAAGAAAGAAAAGTTCGCATGAGATTCAGGTATGACATTCATATTTCAGAAGAAAGTTTAATGCTTATTAAAGGAAAGAGCATGATTATGAATACTTTTACAAGTATTAAATTATTCTGTTATTGCCATTTTCAGTCGATAAACTTGAGATATATGAAAGTCACTCTGTTTATGTATATACTTTGTTTCGAAAAAAACCTGATTATTGGGATTAGTTTAATGCATCATATTGAGCAATTCTGTATGTTGTAAGTATTAATTATAATAAATATTGTCATGTTAAATGCACTGTACTGCAACTATTTGGCAGTCACGCCTATAAGATGACAATATCACTTCGGGAATAAAAATATAGTAGTCCTATTTTAGAATTTCAAACTCCATTTATTCCTATTTTGGAAAATCTCCCTAGTATAAAGCTACTTCAAAAACATAAAGTTAAGAATATCACAAACATGAAAACTCCTTGAGCTTATCAGAGGATTGAATAAATCAAGGTTGCTAAATAGGTACTGCTGATCCGGAAAGACTTGCATTGGCTGAAGGAAACAGATAGATGGAGTCATGGAACCGTGCAAAAGAAATAGGAAAGATGGAGAGAAAGAAGAATTATAGAAGGCTAAGAGATCGGTGATATAATGCGATGCTCTGGCGGCGTAAAAGATCGACGAGTTTTGCCTCGACAATCCCAGATCGATGAAGGAGGCGTCAGTATCAAGATGCTCTAGCTTCTAGTCTCTTCTGCGGCCAGGTCTTTTCGTGATTTCATTTTTCTTCGTAATTTTGATCGGTTATTCACTTTTCCGGGCGGCTCTGTCCCGTGCATTGATTGATTGGTTGTTCGTTTTCTCCGGGCGTTTGTTCTGAGGCTTTATTTTCCGGCTCGATTTGGCCGAGATTGGTTTCTGTGCGTTGCTTCGTGTTCTGGACCATCGGTTTGGCCGAGATTGGTTATTGAGATTTGGCCGATATTGCTTTGCTTCATGTTCTGAATAAACAGTTTGGAACCTTCATTTTTGCGGTTTGCAGTGCTTTGGTTTCAAGTTCTCATTATTTCCTCATCTGTTTGAGTCAGTGATTTTTTATTTCTGCTGCAATGGATATGTTGTTTAAGACTGTTAACATAATAACATGTTATCTATTGCTGAAGAAAAGAGGGGGCTGGTGATTGTGGCTGACCCAGGCGAGGTGGGGACACAGGCGAGCATGGATGTTGATGGAACGTCATCAAAAACTTGGAAGTGGCGGTGCTGCCCGGACAGCGCCGCCAGTAGCAGGAAAGGGCGAGGTTATGAAGATTATTCCTTTTGCGGAGGCTACTCAAACCGCTACTCCCTTACCAGTGGCTGGTCAAACTGGATTATGTTTCTTTTCTGTTTTTTCATCAGTTCCGAACTCTGTTTTGTTTTTTCATTCTCCTTCTAGTAGCATGTGCAACATTGCTGTGTATGGAGTCTACCAAACTGCGGGGTTAGCGAGATGGTCCGCTAATAAGCGCGAATCCAACTCTGAGTCTCACCCCAGTGTAGCCTTTGTTATGGCAAATTTGAATCCGGTCCTCAGTTTTATTAATAATTAAGTTATTTGTTCTATAAAAAAAAGATCGGTGATATAAGTGAAGCGGAAACAGGAGCCAGAGAAACAATGGATCGGTGATTAAGAAGTGAAAGGTACATATATCATTTTAAGGAAGTGAACGATGCAGATCATTTTGTATTGCTATTAAGTATAGAGGATTTAAGTATCAATTATTATTACCATTCAAAATTTAATTTGAGATTCGTAATTCAAAACATGACGCATACAATACTAAGCACTAACAATAGGATGAAGATCGAAGAGAGTAGTAGTGAAACCGCACATCCTTTTGATCCATGTTAACTGGCCCCTAATTTATTTCGAAACAAGACTTGGATAGTTTTTAGTACTCTAGGACAATTATTTTCACTTTAATGCCTTGACTACAAGAGTAGAACTGTAGAAGAGATCAATACGAGTTTTTATTCACTTTTTTGTTTTTGTTATGAGGTTTTGTTCACTAAGTTACAGATTTTGGATATTTTAATAATAAACACGTAGAAAATAGAAATAACAACTAATCTGGGGATGTATGTTAATTGGATTCACAAGATATAAAATTCAAAAAGTCTTCAAGAAATTTGGGACATTTACATCTGAAGCCATAATCTGCAAGAAAAGCCTGTTTCTCCTCCAGGGGAAGCTCATCATCTATATACGAAATACTACGTAGTAATCTATAAATGTAAATATTTATGATCCAAGGCCAATTAATATCAATGCCATAGCAGGCCAAAAATAAAAATTAATACGGAGTAGGTGTTTTTATCTCACAAGGATCATCATGACAGCATGCATTGGCAGAATAAATTATCACAAGATCGCCTCTTCTCCCTTTTGTATAGGCTCAAGGGCAATTTTTATTGCTTGCCATCCAACCCCTATAATAATAGGAAAATTATTAGAAGGGTGAGCAAATCAAGCATTCATTATTTTCTTGAAGCTCTTTAAAAAATAAAACATCAAAAAGAAAGAAAAAAAGGTTGGTCTAACCTCTTCTTATTTGAGAGATTTTGCATTCAGTTGACATGAAGGTTTTCAATACAGCTCTGCAATGGAAAAAATGCATTACCTAAACGTTATAATAGTCTGATCTTGACTTACCTAGAATACGACAAGAATCTTAAACAAACAATTTTCTATTTATTTTTTTACTACACTATTGCAAGATGGAGGCGTCATTTAATAAGACTGTCTACATGTACTAGTTAATGTTGAACCTGTATTCTTGGACCATGGAAAAAATGAAAGGTATAGAGTGCTTTATAATGTGCATATATAAGACAAATTTACACAATCCCATTTTTATATGTAACAATTTACTGTTTAGTAGGTCAAAAAATAAAAACCTCTTTTCAAATTAAGGCGCCAAGCTTTTTTGTTTGAAAATGCTTTCAATAGGAGTCCATTTGAATGTGTGTTATATCACATCTTTTCTGACTTCAATAAGAAATGCAGTAAAAGTAAATGCATATTATAATTTGGGAAGGGGGCATGAGGGCATCAGCCTTTGCAAACTGAACTAACCTTCACAACAAATTGAATAGACATCACCGAGAGAACATAAAAAGGGGCAGTATACCTGGGTCAGCTTCTCTCTGCAACATAAAACTCAAGTGTGCCAGTGAAATCTTGTCAATATATGGAATATTATATAGATTCTAGCATTATTTCCTTCAGGAGCGGTTTTGGTCTAGTCCCCCGCTGTCTGATATTGTACTGAACTTCTACTGTTCTAATAAAATACTGGTAGTTGTCCCCCGGCTACTACCCCACTGATTTTGGTGGTTGGCCTTCCGGAGTAAAAAAAAAAAAAAAAAAATGGAATATTATATAGCAATAACTATTGATCGACCCAATAACTACAACCAAATCATTGTCACAGCCATGATATAAGACATCATGAGATAGAATACAAAAGATATAAACCCGCAAAAAAGAACAAATCCAAGCACAGATAATAGTGTTGTGTATACTCTATTGTCAAGCAAACACTCTCCACTTTTGGTGTATGACTATTTCTTATGTTCAGCTTGATCACTTATCCAGCAAAAGTCAATCGTAATGGTATGAAAAGTGGCCTAGATAATTGATCGGAACGACTAAAAGTGATTCACATACTACAGTAATGCATCAGGGGGAGGGGGGGGGGGGGCAGAAAGTCAAGGACTATCAATGTAAATGAAATAATAGCAATGAGAAGAAAGGTGAAGTATTTTCGAAGAATAAGAGGAAGGGCTGAAAAAAGAAGCATCCCTCATCTCAAAAAACGTGATACACTTCACCTTTACTGTACAATTATACATTCAGAACAAATTCTTTATTCAGAACTAATAAAGAATCTATTTGAAAGTAAATTCACGGATCAAACATTCCAGTAATATTGCCAAAAATTTCAAGAGAAAATACTGTAAACAATTAAGGTGTCAACTGTCAAGGATATAATTTTTTAGTCCTCAAACAATCATGTAAAAAAGATAATTAGCAAGCTCTTTAAGGAGTAATAAGGGACAAAATTGTGATTCACAATCTGAGATATATGGTTCAACTTCTTGGTCAAACATACCTGCCTTCGGGGGGGGGGGGGGGGCTGCAGGGACCAGGGACTGTTTTTTTTACATACTTCAGTTTTAAATAATTGACATGTTTGAGGAGCAAAATAAAAGATAATACACCAACAAAGACTTGAAAATATGTATGCAGCGCTTTTAACAAAAGCTAGGGAGTATTTTAAACAATGGTTCAGAATTCATACCTTGTTAGCAAGCTCCTGTATCTGCATGCTAAAATCAGCTTCATCACAATGCTCAACATTAGGAAAAACAACTGAATCCCATCAACTTCAAAAAATAATTTAGAAAATCAATTAAAATACTGAAACAAAATATAAAGCCTCAAAGTGGAAAAGAAACAGATGTAGTAATTGTTTGTTAACCTTATCTTTCTTGGTTGTACAGATATTCTTGATATGGCTGGAATCGTTCTACAAAATTCAAGTCGTGCCTCTTCATGCGCTGAAGAAAATCCAGTTCATTTGGTGTCAAGTCAAAATCACAGCAATTGAAATTCAACTCTAATGGGCATCCCTCATCAAAGACCTCCTCCACCACCCCTAAGACCTCTTTCTGGCATTTCTTGTAAACAAAGGTCTGATATGTCCTACTTAGGTTGTCATCAGATCTTGAAGAAGTAAAAGTAGGTTTATGAAAGCAAAAAACATTCATTTTTCCAGCCATTTTTGGTATCTCATCATTTTCATCGGCAAGTGATAACATCTCTCCATTCTGCATTGCAAATGCTGTTTTCAAAACTTTATCGCACTCATTTTGAAATTCATCATCAACGGGGGAAATACCAGTTTCTTCCAATTCATGTTTACGAAGAACAATCAAGAGATGAGTGGGAAGAACTGGGCTGACATGGGCAGCAACATCATCATGAGAAGATCGCACCTGTTCATTAGATGAAGAGGCAAAAGGAAAAAGAAATCGAGTTTTATCTGAAAAGACTTTACTGCCATTGAAAAAGGCAGAAAAGGCAGCCAAGGCAAGGAAATTCATAGGCAAACTACCCCAAATACTTTTCAATGCAACCTCATTAATGCTAGTGGGAAAGGTGACAGCTTTTTTTAATATTACCGAAATAACATGTGGCGGTCTTAGCAATGCAGTGCCACATTCCTTTAGCTTCTCACATATCTCATGATGGAACTTTGATTTGTTTCCCTCAGCACACCTCTGATTGCTTTTTTGTTTATTGTCAACAAGCTGAGCAAGATTGCCACACAAATACTCTTTAAGGAAGTCCATTTTCAGGTATTCAAACTTGTGTTTTGCATGCTCCTCATAATCGTATGTGTCATACAGGAAATTCTCTTTGGTGATACTGAACATAGAGTCTTTGTGGGCTTCTCCCGAAATGTTATTGAATTCCCAAGCCGCAACGTATCTTTGAGCTTCTAGTTTGCCAGAGGACATTAATCTAACAAGAGAGAACCCATCAAGAATTGCAAAACCCAAAACAATGTGTTTCTTCTGTTTCCAATCAACCCAAACCAGAAGAAGATCCTTAAGGAAATCTCCTTTTACGAGACAACTTCCACAAAAGCATTCACGCCCCGACAAACAAAGTTCTGAAGGTACGCCCCATGAAGACAATGAGTTGCACACACTTGAAATAGCATGGGGTCCTCTCCTGTCATCTGGTGGTCCATAGAAAAAAAGAATAAATTCACAATTCCAAAACGAACCTAATAAAATGCAGTGGCCCGATTCAGATGCCCACTTGAAATCATAATGGTCTTCGGCAGTTGGGCGAAGTGTGGATAATTTGAAAACTGTAACGTATTTAGGGTTTCGGAGATTGTGAGCCCATTGCAACACTGGCATAGATGGTTTTCTCACATCACAGAGTATAAGCAAACTATTTGAAGAAACTGCAAAACAAAAGCCACTAGAATCTGACTGAGATATAGCAACAAATCTATCAACGTTCTCAGTCGATAAAAAATCAGCCTTTAATAAAACGGAAACTTTACAGCTGTCAGAACTCAAATCAACTAGGAAAAGTGTACTAGAATGAGCAACCACCAAAAGTCGAGCGTGCCAACTGAATTCACAACTCAACCAGCTCCCACTTTTTTTATTCAAGTAACTGCCCCATGAAATACACAATTTTTGGCCTTGCACGTCTAACATTCTCCTGTTAATTTTCTTCAAACAAACACTCATATCAAACAAGAAGAGTTTGCCATTCTCAAGAAGCACAATACACTCGTCGCTCAAGTGTGGACTCCAACAGGCATGAACAATAGAAGAACCTTGAAATAACTTAACACCAGCATGGCCACCATATTCTAAAACTACATCCCCTAAGCCAACATCTCTAGGCATCTTAACAATATACCAATGCACAGAATATGTTGTGCAAACCATGACATATCCAATAACAGTATAACAAAAGGATGAAGATGAAGACGATAAAAAGACATCAAAATCACCAACTGGATTGATCAATAATCTAGACATCCGATGGTTCAACCTGCGACTATGCACAAAGAAATCGCTCTTATCCTTGCGTTTCTTAACGCTCATAAATTTCGAATCGTTCAAAGTGAGCACAGCAAACCCTAGCTGATCAGAATTATCGCCGGTGGGGAAAAAAGCAAGAACCATAGTATCATCACTATCAGCGCCTAGGTTAGGGCAATGAAGCAACTGAAGAGCATTGAAGTTGTGAACAGTGTCAGGATCCTGTGAGCCTCTCAAATCAGATGCAATGGTAGAGGCAATGGGTAAGGTACTTGATGTAAGTAGAAATTTTGGAAGGGTGACTTCTGGATATGGTGGAGGAAGGCGAGGGGATATGGAAGGGTAGCAAAAAAGCTGAATCAGCGTTTCCCGACATGGGTTGAAGATTAGAGGTCCAATAGATCTTTTCTCGAGACGCTGCCGTTTTGATGTTTTGTTTGGGAGGAGGAGTGGAGGAGAGAATGATAAGGATACGGGCCATAGGGACTTCCAGTCTTCCGAAAACTCCATTATAGATAGTTAGACAACTCCTTGAGATTTTGAATGTTATTTCCACGAACACCTGTCAAAGCGTCTTACGGTTTAGCACTCAATATAACAAATTCAAACAACGGAAAAATGATTATCATTAACCAACCACAAAAACAATATTTAGCACAAAATTGTTGGGGGTAGAGCGTTTAAGACTCGATCTTTTCCTGTTTATTAGAACTCATTTCACTTATCCACTTCTATTATACAAAGACTTAGTAATTTAAAAGTATGTTAAAAAAGTTAATAATATAAAACCTCCCATGTATTTGTTGGGATAAAGCCAAACAAGTGAATGTAATTCAAATCATTTTTCGCATTTCACTAGCATTTCCAAGCATCTAAACATATCCTTAGAATGTATATAAGAGCATCACAATGTTCAGTCATCTGGCATACTTAGAGTATTGTTCAGTTGGAGGTTTAGTACTGACCATATCACTAACTATCTAGTACAAAAAGCGAACAAGGAGCATGGAAGTCTAACCAACTATGTAAGCAACTCTATTGCAAAATTGGGATCTACCGTTCACACAACAAGATGTGCATGGCGTTTTACATTTATGTAGACAAACATGACCATACGTGAACAATTTCAAATAGAGAAAGACCATTACTAGTATGAGACACTAACAAAGTATCACGAGCGAGTACTAAACTGCTGAGTGCTGATGCGGTCACCAATAACACAACTCATAAAAGAAGAGCACAATTCATAACTGCAAGAGGTCTACTAGTATTCTATTTTGCGGTGTAGTGAAGGAATTATATCTGCAACAATTCAAATGGTACAAATGAAATTTCATAATGTCAAAAATTAGCACAAAATACGCCATGTGCAATTCTATAGAAATTAGTCAAGATTAAGACAAACACATTGTACGATTGTTATTTGATGTAAAAATATTAAAAACGACATCAAATACAAAAACATAATTAAAGAAACATAGATTCAGATGTCTATCAAATAGGTCAGTTAACTTCATCACTAAAGATATATAGCTGGACTTAAAATGGAAGCTAGACAGCCTGATGGATAATACATGATGAATCAAATATTTGTTCATATTTTAAAAGAAGCAAAATGAACGCACAAGTTTACCATAGCACTGCCATTCTGTTTTTTTTTTGGGGAAATTGACCAGAAAATGTTATTGACAAAGACTGATCTTGGAGTCCCTATTAAGGGTTTAATGTTTTTTTTCTTAGATCATCATCATCATCATCATTACCCCAGTGCCGCAAAGGCTCCCACCTACGGTGGGGTAAGGGGGGTCGGATCTACGCAGCCTTACCCCTGTACTAAAGCACAGGGAGACTGTTTCGGGATGACCCATGGTGAAAATTGCATCGAAAATTGCATGGACTGACCCGCACCTCACCGTATGTGGGAGCCTTTACGGCACTGGGGTAAATGAAAATGAAATGATGAAATGATATGAATAAAAACATTTCCATCTTCAGTCTCAACCATTTACCTAAAGTGCTATGTAAAATTTATTTTTTCATACAAAGACTGATCTTGGAGTCATGAATGTTACAAAGTAGTTTTTAAAAAATATTAACCTATTTTTTCATAAATTAGTTTATATTTAATTCCCTAGTACTATATATTAGACAAAAATATCCAAGTTTTAGAAAGGCTAGAATGAGCCATGATGTCTTTCTTGGCCTAACCTGGTAAATAGTCAACTCTTTTGACTATAAACAACACTTTTGTAGTCTCAAAATGGGCCGTACTTAAAATGATTAACCAATACAAACACCCTCTTCAAGGAATATGAAATAAGTTTGTTTCTGAGTATATTTATATTTTACCTATCGTCCTATCCTAAAAGCTTAGAAAGAGAAGTACTGGAATTTTGAGTATGAACTATGAAGGCATATGACATACCTTTGTAAACTTTCTTGATAATTGAATAAAACATCCTAAACAAGTAAACAGTGATATGGAGTTGCTATGTACGTAATAGATGTATCTAAGGTACAATTTGAATTGAAAAGAAATTATCAAAACAAACAAATTTTTAGTATTTAAATCAAATACAAATCAAACAGAGGACATCTCCAATTGGTAAATAATATAATAGGGCTTAAGGATTTCTGAGGAACACAAAAATGCAGACCTGATAATTCATTCACAAGGAATAAGAATAGCTGCAATTGGTTCCCCTTGGTCGAACAATCTTTGCAGTTCATTCCCAAAAAACATGAATTGATTTAGATCATTCGAATCCCTAAAATCATTACAAGAAATTAGTGGTAGGCCAAGATTAACACTGCAATTTGTCAGAGTTTAGAGAATGAATATGAAAATAGGAGCATTGAGAAAAAGAGATGTGATTTAGATATAGGGGTTTATAGAAGAAGATGAAGCACTAAACAAAACGCACAGAGAGGATGAGCCAAATACTACCTGGTTCAGAATGGTTGGATTGGAATATGCTTGGCCGCTTGGGAAGAACTGCGAAAACGGAAGCAGAAAACAAGTAACTTACATCAGAAGATCAAAGGAATTGAAAGAAGTCAGGAACACTAACGCCGGTCTTCTGCGCGGCTAGAGTTAACCAATCTTCTAATGGGCTGGATACTCTGGAATCTAAAAGGCAGACTGGGGGCTGGTGAGGTTTTATTTTACTAACGGAGCTGTGGTAGACGTTAGGAGACGGATAATCGGATAGATTTGGTACAATGTATTAGGGGCACACATCTTTACAATGCTTTCATTTTACACCAACAAATTTTACCCTAATTTCAAATAATCGGATAGATTTGGTACAGTGTATTAGGAGTACACATCTTTACCATGCTTTCATTCGGTAAGGACCTGTTTGGATAGAGTGTTTGGAAGTGTTAGTAATGAAAGTGTTTGGAAGTTTTAGTGAGAGCACGGGAGAGAAGAGAAATGTAAGTGTTAGACATAATTTAACTTTGCTTGGGAGAGTCAAATGAATGAAGTGTTACTAGTGAAAGTGTTAATAATTTTTCCTTGAGATAGAAGAAACAAGTAAGGAGAAGAGATGAAAAAGGTAGACCATCACACCTGCGGCAAAGAGATTGGAAATGAGATGTCGAAACTTTTTATGTTTTATGGGTAAATGAGAAGGGTAGTAATTGTTAGAAAAGATGATGAACTATTGAAGAACATGTGAGATGGAGAGAGTAAAAGATGAAGTTTATATATTTATCTCTTGCACTCAATTCGTTTTTACAGGTGCATTAAATACACCAAAGAGAAGATTAAACAAAGAATAAACAGTGGCTTGATGTGATAGAATTAGGCTCCAAGAGTTTAAATTAAAAAAATACACTCTCTTGCATCTAACAGCCACTTGGATGAGTTGGCAAAGAAAGGGTTGACTTTTCTTCAAGTATCCAAGTTTCTTCTTCTCAATACTCCCCATCAAGCTTGAGCATACGGTATGGTCAAGCTTGAAAAGCCATGGACATAAGCGAAAAAGAAACACTTGGGGAAAAAGAGATGATGCTTTATGGGCAAGATGACCATGATCTGGACAAGTCTTTGAGTCCCAACCTTGGGTGGATGTACTCACAGAACTTTATGCTTGCTCCCTTAATGAAGATGTCAGCTAGCTGGTCTTCACTTCTTGTGTAACAAAGGTAAGATGGTTTGTTGTTCCACATCTTGTCTAACCTTATGACAATCCACCTCAATGTGTTTGGTCCTCTCATGAAATACTGAGTTTGACGCAATGTGAATAGCCGCTTGATCCAAATGAGTTCACTAGTCAGTTTTCTCATTGCTCTATATTCTACCTCAATGCTTGAACATGACACCACCTTTTGCTTCTTACTCTTCCAAGTGACTAGATTACCTCCAATGAATGTGCAATTGTAACACCCCAATTTTGTGACCTAGTTATATTAGTCACTTTTTTTAGTAAGTTAAATAATTTTATTTGAGAATAACGTGGTTTATTGTGTTATCAATGTTTTGTGACAGATGACGTTGACCGGCAAGCTCTAATGATTTTAAATAGATAAATAAATACTAGTATGTTATAAGGTTTAATTAGTTAGATCAGAAGCGTTTTTTTATAGAAGATGAGAGACCCAAATCAGTTATCTTGGCCCGAATCAGTATTTTGACTAAAGCCCTAGAAAAAAAGGTATATTTATGCACATCATTAACCAAGACCTGTGTTTATTCCCAACCTTAGTAGCCGCACATCTCCTCTCCTTCATATCATCTGAACACCAATCTCTCTGATTTCTCGGCTAGGAACTTCTATTCTCCTTCAACTCTCCCATTGAGGCCATAGTCGCAGTTTTAGTGACAACTTGAAACTGGTATGCCATTTATATCTTGCTTCCATGTTTTCTCTTGTTGGTCATAATTGTTTCAGCCCTTTGGTCCCAGCCTGGTTAACTCTATTGTGTGCTATTTCCAAATAATTAAGTGTTTTCTAGGTCTCCTTTAAATCTATTATCTTCATAAAATTGAGTGTGTTTACAAAGAAAAGTGATTGCCCCTGGAGCTACTTTAATTTTAGTCAATGGTATTAGTAATCAATCTTGTTGTCCGAATTGGTATTACAAAGACAAAACCAGTTTCAGTGCTACTGTTGTTAAACCCAGGCAACTTGTCTATGTTTTTTAGTCTTAGGTGCTGAAAAGTTTCTGCTATCACGATACCCTAAATCTATTATTGAGGATTGAAGTTTACAAATTAAACGTTTCTCTATCTATGAAATTTGCAATATCCATTTTCCCATCATGGCCCATGATATGCAAATCTATTAAATTACTAGTGGAGCAGTAGTTATGTGAAAGTGAGTTCCTTTTTAGATGGTCTTGTTTTAGTTATTCAAATATTTAAATATAAAGTTTTAATGGTATGAAATTCTAATTGACTGTATAACACATAGTTAAGATATTAAAGAAGATCTTGCCGGAAGACGTTATCAAGGTTCCACACTTATCTGAGTATTTTGAGTTCAGCTGTTAACAGGTAAGTTCACTACCACCTGTACATGTTTTTTCAACCAAATGAAAGAAATAAGTCTGCTT